CTGCAATTGATTCAGATGTAAGTAAACATGTTCGTCGTGGTGAAGCTACTGATTCCTCGATGAATCCTGAAACCCGAGGCCTGTTAAGGAATCTAATTATTCAAAATAGTCTTGATAAACTTATTGGTGCCTTGGATACAGACAATGATTGAAAAAGTAAATCTGATGAAGACAGAACGTAAGCTACGTAAAATGGTTTTTATATCAATTGGTCATTATGTTTTTTCTTTTTGCAGGAAAACGTTTCATCAAATAAATACAATTAAAAAAATCAAATATTGGACTTCTTTTAGCGTAGATAACTCATATATATATATCATTCATGTTGTTTCTTTAGCTGTAGCTCACAACTTGTTTAGCATCTTTAGGATATCTACACATTTTAATAAAATTAACTGATTGAAAAGAAATTTTTTGTGTCTCGAAAAAACAATCGGAATTTTCAATTGACGTTATTTTGATAATGTAAACTTTTCTTCGATCACTGATGATTAATCAAAGCTAGACAAAAGAAGATATGAAATTATTAGGCTCACACAATCATAATTTACATCTTTTCTCGATAATATAAGTAATACACTTCACACAATTACTGCCGTTATACTTGCTCTTGACATAAGTTACAACAACAATTTAAAAATTTATTAAATTAAAATTTCGTACACCATAATAGACAAAGACACATCTTAATCTTTTATATAGATAATTCGAAACAAAACCAAAGTACGTTTTCTAGAGAAAGTATGCGAAAATACATATGCAGTATAGATCATTGCTTATATAAAATAATACGAGAATGTAAACTACAAATTTAATAGTATATTTTTGTTGCAGTTGAAGTGATTACTTTTTCAAGAATGTGTTTCTAGCCGAATTTATTCATGTTTGTATAATATTCGTTTCTGCTGCAGTATGTGAAGTATCATCATCGATTATATCTTTCTTTTTAACAGTTTGAATATATCAAAAGACTTCCGTTGATTAATGGTGAACATCGCTTGTTTCATGCATCTACAATAATATTTATTCGATATTAACCTGACAAAATATTTGTATTAATATTTTGAAGTAATTAATAAGTAAAATCGCCTATACTGCTCAAGACTGGATTTGTTCTGCAACATGTGTGTGGATGCGGGTGTTATATTCCTCTCATATCCTCAGACTCACACACTTTTTTAAAATTTCCTTTCTCGTAGAGAAGAGTCCAGTAAACATCAGTTGCTTGATTGTGTGTCCGCACTTCACTGATTAGTCGAAAAATAAAATGGACTTCTTCTTAAAAAGTTCGACCAAAGCGTAATCGAGATCGAGGAACTCAAATCTGATATCAGTTTTTTAAAACTTTTTTTCATCAAATTTTTCACATAAAGGATCACTTTTTTATAAAAAATTTTTTTATGAGCGTTGATCGAGGGATGAACGGCGCGGAAGAATTCAAATCTGGCTTCTGTTTTGTTTAATTATATAAATCAATGATCTTGCTGGAAAACATAGAAAAGGAAAACATCGAATTAAAAAGAAGACAAAGAAGAAAATATCGAACGAAAAAATGTGGAAGAGGAAAACGTCGAAATGATTAATCAATTTTTTTTTATGCATGTTAAGTAGTATATTTATTAGTTTATAAGAAAATAGACAGCTAATATTCGTGCTTTCATTTTATCACGTAAAATTTTTACGGCTATTTGATCTGGATTTAGAGAATGAGTATGTGTACCATTAATATGTGTAAATTGACCTAATTAAACTTGTATGTATGTACACACCGCATTCTCGTTCAACACATAACCAATATTTTGTCGATTGATTTTTTTTTATTAAAGTTGAATATGGCATTTTCACATATTACTTATCGTTCATCTTTGTTCGATAAAGTAAATGATACTTCAGACTGGTGAATTTTAAATGAACTAATTTCAGGATCGAAGTTTGTTGCCATTTAAATTATATGTATATTTATAATATGAGAAAATTTTCGTTGTTGAATGAAAATTAGTATATGCTGGTGACAGGAGTGATCAATAAGAACGAAAACAATAAATTTTTTTGTACTGTAGTCTTTTTCGTTTTGACGTTTTCCTCTTTTGTTTTTTTTCTACGATTTTCTCTTTCTACGTTTTCCTACAACTCCAAATCAATATTTTGGTAGTTGTTTAGTAACGTGATTTCTAAGAGAAAGAGCTGAGCGAATCTTTAGACGAGCGTTTCTTATTAAATAAATTAATTTTATTAGTGAATAGAAGGTAATTCTTTTTTAGATTTTTTCTATAATGTTGATATTAGTAGTGGATGCTAATGTTATGGTGGAACAGAATGACTCAGGCTTCAGTAACACCACGACTAAGTCAGATTACACAGGACCTTGCCTGGCATTCTTACTTGATTTCAAATATTTTGATTATCAAGAATGCGCTCAATGTCATTATACATTTTCAATATCTGAAGAAAATCTAACTATAGGTCAATTATTAGTTAAAATTCTGCAATATATTGTTGCAGAATTACAATATGTTCTTCCCGAGTCGATGATTCTTGAAGCTGTATTCCATAAATCTCTGGAATACCACTGAACCATCCGTTTACGTGCCGGATTGTTTGACCTGGCTTAGAAATATTTCATTTATTTATCAAGGTACACCAATAATATCGGACGTTTGTATGCTAGTTGCTGGTGGAGATCCGAAATTGACGAAAGACATACATAAGGCCTTATGTCTTCTTAATATATATAATATCAATATGGAGATAAGATCTGAAACCACGGACGTCATTGTTTGGTGGTTATGTCATGAGTTGGCTAATAAAGTCATCATATTGAAATCGGTTTTCAAAGGATTAAACACTAGAGAAGAAGCCACTGGTAAATAAAATCTTGTAAAATTTTCGGAATTATTGTCGTATGTATTCTATCATCGAAACATCAACGTGGTCAAGATTTTCCATCCTTATATATTAGATATTGTTGTCAATCAAAAAATGCTACTATAGGTCTTACTTGGGTTATAAATGAAAATCATGATATAGCATTTTTTCAATTGAATTTATATGCAAAAAAATTGTTAAATTTTCGATGGGAAATTCAAAATCAAGAAATAAAAAATTTAGAAATTTCCTTCGAAAATAATAAACGATTAAAAACTCGAGTATCAGATGCTTTATCTCTTCCCAGGTCGATGATTACGAACTTCGTAAACGATTGGATACGACCGTAACCGGAAAAAATACGACCATATACGACCGTATTTCACCGTTTTTTGCCGTATTACCTGAGGCCGTATTACGATCGTATGTCTCCGTACTGTATACGGACAAGTATGATTGTTTACGGAGAAAAACGGTCGTAAAAGATCGTATTTTTCCGTTTACAGCACGGAGACATACGATCGTAATACGGCAAAATACGGTCGCGCGTGGTCGTATTTCTCCATATACGACCGTTTACGATCGCGCTTGTTTGACCTGGGTTATTCCAATAAATCCATATACCACCATGTAAGTCCTTGTCTTATCTTTTTATAGAATATACTTTATTGTATTTCTCTTGTTTTATCTTTTCTCTTGTAATATCTTTGTTTCTTTTATAGTCTATATTATTCAGCAGATATTAAAACTTGTGGTCAGTTTTATGACCCTCGATATCTGATTGATCGTGGAACAGTGAATCGATAGGATATCTAATACTTTACGTTATTTGATCTTTAACTCTGACACAAACAAGCAAACAAACATTAGAAAATGAAAAACAAATTAAAAAAATAGTTTATAGTTTATGAACATAAAGTTTGTTCATCTAGTTCTTTGTCAAGATTTATCAACCAGTTTTTTATAATTCTATTAATTTCAAAAAATGACGCTAAATGACCTCCATCAAGTGTTTGAAGTTCGGCATTTGGATAATTTTCGACTAAATATGTTGACATTTCCATATGAGCTATTTTATCTTCTTTTGCAGCTATAATCAATACTTTTCGTTTTGGTGATGATGGAAGATTTTTCGGATCAAAACCCCAATCCGAATGTAAAATATATGCAACAGTATTGAATCCATCCATTGTTTTTGATATACTTAAATACATATTTCTTGCCATAGTTTCAAGAATCCATCCTGATGGATGATTTCTCTCTTCTTCCCATTTATGTAATTTAGTTTTTTCTTCATCATCCATTTGATCAAATATATTTTCTCGTAAAAAAACCTTCGCTTCATCAATATTACGAACTTTTTTTAGCATAAATGATCCCATTAATCTTCTAATAAAAGGAAAATAAATAGCTGGCATACCATTCGCAAAATAATTGAACCAACTCATTCCAGTTGTATATTCTTTGTGATATTTAAAGGGAGAAAAACTAGAAAGAAGAATTAATGATTTAATATTAACAACTTCAGGCATTATATGAGGAGATGCACCAAAACATATTTGAGCAAAAACAGTTCCATAACTGCCACCACCAACAGTAATTTGAAGATTTTCATTATCATTTTTCTTCATAGATAATAATAGTTGATGAATATCATTAGGATAATTTAAAATTGGTAGATTTTCGGGCCATGGTGAACTATTACCCCAACCAGGCAGTGTAGGAGCAATAGAATGATATCCAATTTCTTGGTAAAGCTTCGTTTCAAGTGAAGAATCTCCAACACCAAATACTCCATGAAAGAAAATAATTATTTTATTACTATTTATATCGCCTTGTTCGGTATATGCTAATTGACGACCATCGGAAAGTGTTATATACTTTTCATTAGGAACTTGAAGTTCGTTAGAGATTGACGATGCAACTGATTGGCTCATAATTGATTGATGTGCACAACTAGATGTAAAGAAAAGATGATCAAAATAATTTTAATTTAATTAAAAAGAATTTCATTTCTAATGCTTGATCTATAGTTAGTTTTGTTATGAAATAGAATCTTATCCTCTATAGTATCTTGTGTTCTTCTTCTTCTCAATGTCGCATGTAAAAATCTATATATAAATATGAGAACATTTAGAAATGAATGAATGCATCTCGTTCAGATACGCTGTAGATCTAACGTGTATGCATCTTATCATATATGAAATAAAGAAGATACACAATATACTTAAGTTCTGATATATAAAAAGCGTTTTTCTTTTCTGTGATCTTTTCTATATTTACATCCTAAGAAAAAAAAAGAAGAGAAGAAACGAGTTTCATATGCGTCAAACTGCATCAAAAAATAAAACAGTTACGTACTTTTTCTTTGTCAGAAAGAAAAACCAAAAATTTGAAAATTCTTTGAAATGGAAAAGATGAATTATAGTAATATTTTTACTAAATAAAATAATCAGAGACTAAATAGTTGTTGATTGCGACTAAATAATGAATCATAGAGAAACTGACACGTTGACATTCTTTTCTTTTCTATACGTGTGTACGTACACGTAAGAAGTAATTAATATAGAAAAGAAAAAAAAGCTACGCACGCTTTTATGCATATAAAAAATGTCATCACTTTTTCATCTACGATCTAAGTTTCTACTTATTCTCTTATATATCGATACGACTTTGCATCATGAGAATACCATCAAAATCTTGAAGAAGGATAGTACATCTTGAGGGTGTGTGTGGGTAGGTGACTATGGCTTCGATGAATTAGAGTACTCACGCTCACCTACATCCACACCCGTAAGAAGAAAAAACACGTCAGGTGTTTTTCTGTTCTTATCTTGACTCTTTTTGCTTTACTTGCGTATCTTTTTTATGAAGATATAATTCGATGACAATAGAGCAGTTTCGCTTGTTTTTTGGTAATATATATTTTTGTAATTTAATTCGAAAGTTTATAGTCATCCGACAATTTTTCTATTTTTAATCAATCAATGGTTGATCTCAATAACGTGACTTATCGTGTTGCAACTTCATCAGATTGCGATTTATTGGTCATGTTTGTTAACAATGCCTATGGTGGTGAAATAGCACGACAAGGTTGGACTAATGCAAATGAAATTATCGACGGACAAAGAACAGATAGAAATGCCATGGATGTGATGATTAGCAATAGTGACTCTATTATATTGGTAGTTTTCAATAAAAGTGATAACATTTTGATAGGATGTGTGTATTTGCAACATAAATCAGACATAAAAACGGCATATTTAGGGATGTTAACTGTCCGTCCTGATTTACAAAGAAGTGGATATGGGAAAATGATTCTATTTTTGGGAGAAAATTATGCTAAAGATCAATGGAATGTTGATTACATTGAAATAACAGTTATTATACAAAGAACAGAATTAGTCGAATTTTATAATCGATGTGGCTATATTGAAATTGGAGAATATCAACCATTTCCACCAGATGAATTTGGTCGCCTAAAACGAAACGATTTACAAATTTGTACTATGAAAAAATCTCTCAAAACATAAATATCGACTTAATATTTTTAACGGTTCGTGTGAATGTTAATGAGGGATCAAGTCTACACCCACAATACACTATAACATTATTAAACAAAATTTTAGAAATATGAGACAATAGTCATTTACCTCTTCTTGTATCTTAATCTTTTATAATATGTTTTGTCTTAATTATGGTTAAATAAAAGTTTTGAGATCCAAAAAAAATGAAGATAAAGAAGAGAGAGTTGAGAATGATAATAAAACTGAACGTTTTTTTATTAGGTGTGCGTATGAGAGTGGGATAAGATAAGAGACACCCACCCATCCTCACACCCTCACCTTCACTCATTTAATTATACTTATTGTTTGTAGAAAGTATATAAAGATTGGTGAATTCTGCGATAGTGACAAATGGGATATCTGTTAGGTACTCTTTCAAGACTCTACAAATATTATAAGTGAATAGAACTAATCTTAAGTTCAAATATTTCACTCTTTTCAAGTAATATCACTAATAAAATTACGAAGGAGAAAATTTATGAGAATACTACCGAGCTCATCGATTAAGTCCTCTATGAACTTTGACATAATATTTTATAAAATATCAGAATGCTATAAGAAAACGATCGGCTCAGGAAATATAGCAATGAAATTTAATCCAAAATATTTTATCAATAAATATATCATTTTTTCTTTGTATTTTTGCTTGACGATTATAGAAGTAAGTTGATTTTTATCGTACCTCATTTCGGAATATTATCAAATATATGTACATCTGTGTATTTAACAGTAGTATTGTAATCAATAAAATTTGGTATTATATTTGAACATGAATGTGAGATCGTATAGTATTGCTGTTTAAGCAATATCGGTAATTTCTTTCTTTAATAGAATCAGAAGGACAAAAAAGAAAAAAAGAAAACACTGTTTCACATGACAAACACTATATACATAAAAATTCAACAAAAGAGAAAAAAAAAATGCGCAAAACAACAAACTTAAGCATAATATTTCTTTCCTATCTATTGTTTTTTTTCTCATATACATATATTATTGCAAAAAAAAAGAGAATACAAGACAGCATAAAATAGAAACAATTCTTTGTAATGTTTTGGTTTTTTTTTCTTAAAATAAAGATATAGAGACTTTAATTCATCATCGTATCTGACGGAACTGATTACTACAATCTATTATTTAGTTTTGTATTTAATGTCGTCGATTTGATGATGATTGTGGTGTTGAATAACTATATGGTGTCGTTGAATTACCTGTATAAGGTATTGAATTGACACCATTGGGTGGATAACACATTTGTTGTCCTGATGGATACATAGGAGATGGTGGTGTTGGATAATAAGGCATATAATTCATTGGTATACCAGATGGATGATAATAAAATGGTTGCATATCAGCTGATGGTGTAGTTGGATACGGATATGGATAAGATGTTTGTCCAAAATTATAAGTCATATTGGTTGAATTAGTAAAATTATTGATTGTTATCGATTGTTGTTGCTGCTGTTGTTGTTGTTGTTGTTGTTTAGCAACATTACTTCTTGTCGAATAATTATAATGATTTGATTGTGAAACAATCATTGATGTTGGTGAAGTTAAACTTGGTGGTTGATCATCTGCTACATTCGCTTCTTTAACAGCTTCTACAGTAGTTTTTAATTGAGATTCTATACGAGCTATTTTAGTTTCTTCGTCAGTACTATTTAATGATGATGATGATGCCATTAATGGATTTGCAAGAATATCTGATAGAGATGATGGTGTTGTTAAACTTGTTTCACGACTTAATATTGAATCATCATTTTTCTGAAAAAAATTTTATTTAAGAATTTCACTTCATAAACAAAATATTTAAACCTTGGTAGGTGTAGGTGGATCTATTAAAGCTTGAACATTTGACGAAGTCCAAGCACGTTTTTTAAATGGTAATGGTGAATTAATAGGTGCTGGTGAACTATCATTTGATGAAATAGTTCCATCACTTATTTGTCTTAATAAGAATTCTTGATTACACGCTAAAATAATATACAAGCGATGAATGGATGAAACATTTTTTTTAAAAATGATATATAAAATTTGTTAGTTTATATGAATGATTGCTCTGTGAAACGTCAATGTTTATAACTAAGAGATGTAAACTATCAGAAGGATATACACGATCTTATTATTTTCAATAATTTTCTTTCGACTACGAAACTTGTACTTATGGCATTATCAATATTTAGATGTTTTTCTTTCTATTCCTATATATTCTTTTCATTTATAAGAACCCAATCAATATATATAACCTTCGACATACATATATGGCCGTGACGAGAAAAAAAATTTGATCACGTTGACCTATAATTACAACTGGAAACTCAGCGCAACGATATTCAACAAATATTTCGATCTTATATTTACGGACATCAAACTACATATAAATGCATGCAATGTTTCGAAAAAATGTGTATATATATATATTTGTGAAATTTAAATATACTTACGAATTGGTTTTTTTAAATTTTCTACTGTTATTCCATTTGCCATTTTAACAAGATCAGTTTCCGATTTAGATACATGAGTTGAATTTGATAATCTTTTTGTTCGTCTTGGTAAACGAAATTCTTCATTATTATCAGTTTTAACATCTGAATTAGTTTCTTCATTACGATTATTCTCTGGACTTATTTCGAAGATTTTCTCTGGTTTCGAGTTTTCAATTACAGATGAATTCGATGGAAGTTTTTTAAGAAATTGATCCATTGTTAATTGTTTGAATGAAGGTTGTTTCGATGGGGATTTAGGTGGCGATGGTGGTGGTGGTGGACTCTTCTCTTTTTTGCTATCATCATTATCATCATTAACATCTGCTTCTTCTTCTTCTACTCTTCCTGCTTCTACTTCTTCTTCTTCTTTAACTGATTCATTAGTTAATGAATCTCGTCGACGAGATATATATTCTTGTGAATGTTCATCATGAATAGTTGGTGTAATTGGTTCATTTTTATTTGTTACTCGACATTTAACATAGATTGCTCGACGTTTTCGTCCAAATTTTCTTCTTCGAACATAACGAATAATTTCAGTTGTATTTCCTTCATCACCCAAATCAGCAGCATTTCCTCCAGATCTAAATAATTATAAATTGTAAAAACAAAAAAAAATGCTTTTCATATCTTACTCCGGTATATCTGATTCAATTTTTTTAAAGATAACTTCAATTTTTTTAAGTTGATTTTCATATGAATTTTCATCATTTAACAATAGAATTGGTTTAAGAACTGGTGTAAAACGAAGATATTCAGTATCTAATGATACCCAATGTGCATGTTTACTCTCTTCTGTTTTCATTATAAGTTTCATTTGTGTTATATCGACATGAATTACCGGTCTAAAAAAATTTCCAATAGTATAAAATTTAGATAAACAATATTTTACTTTTCATTAGAATGCATTGTTAAAACTTCTAGATTTTGTAATGTATCAAGAATATCATCAGCGGCCATTCCTGTTTCGTTCATTAATTTATATAATATACATATATCTTGCTTTTTTTCATAATAATCAAGTAATTGTTGAACTACTTTTACTTTCCAATATGCTTCATATGTATGAGCACCATGTAATGATAATGGTCTTTCTGGTGTACCAATTTGATGTTCTTTTTGTGATAATAAATAACTTAATTCAATTAAAAAACGTCCATAACCTCGACGTTGACAATTAGGTAAAACAGTTATACATGATAGATTATATTTTTGTGGGCAATGTTTTTCTTTCGAAAAATAGCCAAGAAAATGACAACCATTTGAATCATTTTTCGTTAGAACATAGAATAGAAATGGTTCAACATCATAATAAAGTGTTTTATGATCAAGAAATAATTTTGCTAATAGACATAAATTTTGACAATAAATTCGATTAATATTTCCATCAACTTCAAAAACTGAAAGATCATCTTTATGATAGATTTCATTTGCGGGTGGATGAAATGTTTGACATTTTTTCTATAGAAAAAAACACAAAAAATAAATTTAAATATAAAAAAGTAAATTAACATACACGATGTCGATCATAAACTTCTTCACATTTCATATATTTTAAACAAAATTCACATATATATAGACGTGGAACACGAGCATATTCTTGTGGATAAGATGATGAATACCATGTTTTAATTAATTCATCACCAAAAACAATATATGGTGGCCAACGTGTATTATTTATATCATCTTCTACTGTTTCAGGTGTATAATGAAATTTTTCAGAACACTAAATATATTTAATAGAAATATGAAAAATAAGAAAGAAAAAAAAACATTTTTACATCTGAAATAAGTTTTGTGGAATTTTTTCTTGCATCAAGAAATAAATATACATCATTAGCAACAATTGTATCTGGTAATAGATCACTGAGAAATGCTGGTGGAGTTTTATATTCTAGACAGAAAATAATGAATAAAACAATAATTTATTGATTTTTAACTTACTAGATAAATCTAAATTAAGTGTTCGTTTAGTAACTGTTGGTATTTTTTTATTATCATTATCTTCATCTTCGGATTCTTGCTCTTCTTCTGCTTCTTCTTCTACTTCTTTTTCTTTACGTTTCGATGGTGTTTTTTTAACTGAAGAATCCTGTTTTGTTCGTTTTTTGATGGTAACTGGTGTCTGAGGAATCGATGAAATTAAATGTTTTCGTTTAGTTATCGATCGAGATGAATTTGTTTTAGTAGATTCTTCAACTGGATGAGTAGTTGATCGACGAATAACTCGTGAAGTTGGAGTAATTGGTTCTGAAGTTAATGATTTTTTAGTCGTTGAACGTCGTGTTGTTGTTGTACTTGTATTTATTTGAGAACTAAATAATTAGAATTAAAATTTCAGAAAAAAAGAAGAGAATATTTACTTCGATGGTGAATTATCTGTTAAATTTATTGGTTTTCGTCGAATACGCGATGTTTTCGATGAAGATAAAATACTTCTTGCTAATAATTGATCTTCAACAGTTTTACTTTTTGTTGTTGGCATTGTATTAAGACGTTTAAGTACTTTATTATTGGAAGGTTTAATTGTTTTATTACGTAAATATTTCATTGCTTTTTGAACTGATTGTTGTCGTTGAATATTATTATTATTATTCATTTTCTCTTTTTTTGGTAAGAAAAAATTTGACATTCCATCAATTAATTGTGCAACAGGACGAGTTATAACAGTTGGTGTTGTTGTTGTTGTAGGTTCTTCTTCATTAGAATTTTTACTACGTAATGAACGTGTTGTAGAAGTTCTAATTGAAGTTGATTTTATTGTACCATCATTTCGACAATTAGAACAGGCAAAATCACCTTTAGGAATGTGATTTAATGGTGGATCGCAACATTTCGGATGAATAGCTGCATCACAATAATCACAGAATAGTAACTAAAAGAAAATCAATAAGATTAAAACATAAAATACAAATTTTTCTATCCTACTGAATCATCTCCTTTATTGCAAATAATACATTTTTTACAATCTAAACATTGCCAGCGTAGTGTTGTGATTTTTTTAACAAGTTTCTCGGAATATTTTAAACATGACGGATGTCCTATTATACATATATAAAGAATTAGTTTTTTTTCTTATTTAATAAAATCGATCGATTCATACCACAATTCCCACATTCAGCACAACTTATCATATCTTCAGGAATACCCTTGGCATTTTTATCTTCATCACCCAAACAAAAACTACATACACCCATTGGTTTAACAATTTTCTAGAATAATTAAAAATTAATAAAGAAAAAAAACTACTAAAGAAATCTAATGACGAACTTTCTTTTCATGTGTTGTTGATGATGTTCGTCGTTTATTCGAAGGATTTGTAGTAGTTGTCGACGATGTTGAACGTCGATCACGAGAGCCTTTGGCTACCATTTGTGAATTTTCAATCAGATCATTGGAGTATAGACTAAAATTTAATTGATTCTTTTTCAATGAACGAAAAACAAATCGGTCAATATGACAGATAGATGGGAAAAGAACGATGAATGATGACTCATCGAAAAGGCAAAATAATGCACTTTGCTTTTGAAGTTTATAATGAAAGTTCTATTGGTATTTTACGACATCTGTTAACAAATTTCCTTAGATAAAACTTTTTCAAATGTATTTTAATAGATTTAAATAAGGTTAACAAGAATCAAAGTTAATAAAATGATAGAATGTGATATAAATTTGTATTAGACCATTGTAAATTATAAAGAATACATGTGTATCGAACGACATCTAGAATGTAATTGTAATAATTTTGAATGATACTTTTTGAAAAGTTTCGAATTATTTTATATTGATCTATTTTATTATTTTATTTTATTATAAAAATTTGATATTCGAACGCAAATCAAGTACAGTTTTTTCATTGGCTTTTTATACTACAAAATGTCTATCAATCTCCTTTGAGAAGAGGTCGCTTTTAAATATTGATTTACTAATGCATTTAAATTATTTTAAAATGTTTGAAAAAGACAATTTTGAAATTTTAAAGACTAATTTAACCTAAATTTTTATGCTTTGATCTTCTTTGATTTTTTGTCTATAGCTCATATTGTGATTTCTAGTGATTTCATTTTATCCAATGAGAATACTTGTTTATTCCCCAATACTTTTCATTTTACTATCGATTTTGATTGTTTCGTTAACTGAACCTTTTTTATTTTTAATTTAATTTTAGAAGAAAAAACTCATGCCTTACGAACGTCTTGTTCAAGTAGGTCGTGTAGCCTACATTGCTTACGGTCCAGAAAGAGGCAAAATTTGTTGTATAACAAATATTATCGATCAGACACGTGTACTTGTCGATGGTCCATCATCACACGTTCGTCGTCAAGCATTGAATATCAAATCATTACATTTAACAAAATATGTTCTTAAACTTTTACCAGGAGCACGTTCATCAACCGTTAAATCTATTTGGGATAAAAATGATGTTAGCAAAAAATGGCAAGAAACTCGTTGGTTTAAAAAATTACAAGCCAAACATTTACGTGCAAAAATGACTGATTTTGATCGATTTAAATTAGTACATGCTAAACAAGCATATAATCGTATTGTGGCTCATGAATTTAATCGTTTGAAAAAGAAAAACAAAGACAAATTGGTAAAGAAAACACAAAAGACCAAACTTCGAAAATTTACTGCTAAATCTCAACGTTTTGCAAATAAATTTAAGATTTTTGCTGCCGCACCAGCAGCTGCTGCTAAGAAGAAATAAAATACGAACAAAATCATC